GCTGTACTCCTGGTATATGTTTAGCACAGCAGCAGCAGCCGTCTAACATCGTGACATCCGAGCGCGTACAACGATATTAAGCATGGTCGATACCTTCCTTTGAGGAACACAAGGGGCACCCATAGGAATAGCGTCTAATTCTACGAAAGAGTTGCTATAGCTGCTGCTGCTCGTCTTGTTTTTTCCCTCTACACTATAAAAATGTACAGCGGCGCGTACGGATTCATAGAGATGAGATATGCATATGTCTGTCTACACACGTAGGACCTAAAGAAACTGAAAATATGTGTGTTTGAATCATTTGGTCGTGTGATGAGTATGGAACTTCGCTGTCAGGTGGGAACCTCCGCGGCATCCTGATCGTTGTAGGTGCTGTACACTACTGCTGTCTCTGTTTTGCAACCGATTTATCTATGTAGCGGCTCATCTGTCAGCTGTGTATACATGTCACCTCGAGTAGGTATACGGCAAGCGAGGTTGAATTTAGCGGGGCTGCATTCGATTTGAGTAACCCCTGCTGCGGCTGTATACGAACGAGGCTGTGTGCCCGAGGCTGCTCTGTTGGCGCTGCTGCTGCTGTTTTCCCCCTTCCTTGATACATGTACCTCTGCTTGTATGTGCGCATGTGCGCTTGTACTGCTGCTGTTCTTTTTCGGTTTTTCGAAGGTCTGTTCGGAAGTTAGGCCTCCAACAGCCCGTGGAAGATCCACAATCGAGTCAGTTACACAAGGGCACTACGCGCAAGAACCAACAGTTGTAAATATCAAGGGGAGGAGAACAGCCCGGCACAATCAGATCGACAACAGCAGTCACTTGTAAATTGGAGACACATGAAAAAACGAACGGGGGGTCCTGGAAATTGTTTCACGCATGCAAAATTTACTCACTTTTACGTAGGGCTCCCCGGAATGTTGTTCATCACATGCTAGGCAGTGTTCGTCTCCCGCGCGATCTGGTCCACCTCGTGGAAGACCTGCACGTGCACGAGCAACCCCGCTCCCATGTCGTACTTACACTTCCTCATGACACATGTTAACCCGTCCCGTCTCCGTGCAAGTCTCGGATGTACGGCTCAGCTCTTGCGCCATTTCCGTCCGACAGCTCTTTGCCGACCCACCTGCTGCCATCACCGTGGAGGTAGACGACACTGGGCTTTCCGTCCAGGGCTTGCTTCCTCCCGCTGATCGAGCATACGAAGTCGGGGGCCTCGTGACAGATCCACGTCGGGCACAATAGGCAAGCAAATGTGTCCTTCCGCAGTCGCCGTGAGGGACATGATCCCCTGACAGTGAATGCAACTGTTGACGCAAATTCCAACAGGAAACGAAATTGTACACCGGTTTGGTTGACATTCATCGTCGCGTCGATTTCTTGCAAAGCCCCCGTCGTCGCGTGTGTCTGGATATGCCCGCTGGAGGCACAGCGAAATCAATAATTCCGCATGCGTTTGAAAAATAGAAAAACGAGGGAAAAAAGAACATCCAGGTCCAAGCAACAGGCTTGCAAACACTACAATTACTCAACCCCAAGAACAGGCTGTGCGCCCGGACATTCCTTTATCTAGGATGGACAGGAGACCCTCTCAACATGGAACCTCTGGAACCTTTCTCAACAGTTGCCATTGGATTTTCCCGAGGTCTCCCGATCTCCCAGGAATGATCTTTTTGACTTCTCAGGCAAGCATCACACTTCAGGTAGACAGCGCGTGCTCGCCACACATCAAGGTTGGCGTAACAGCAGTCCATGAGGGCATGCGAGTGAGATGCGTAATGTAGCGTGCTACGGTTACAACGCTGCCATTTTCGGCATCAGCACTCTTCCTACTTGCTGCGAAGCAATCGAGTTCTGAAAATCGCTCGAGGTGTGGTGTTTTGTGTCACCTACCGTAAACGGTACTTGTGATGGGTGCATTTGCTCGCCACAACATATCCTAAGTTGCTCGAACGCGTAACTGACGTGATGTAACATGAATGATGTGCCCTCCACAGACTCTTTTTGGTAGCTGGTTCAAACGAGAGCCTTTTGAAATGCGATTACTGCTGTAAACCATGCTCATGGTCCAAGCTAACACGGCACAAGACACATCCGGCAAATACAAGAAGGATACTGGCTTGTGACGACCCTCTGTAAAACCGTAGCCGCTACTGCATCTCGATGAGACTGGTGTCTCGAGTCTCGAGTCACGTGGGTCCTCTCTCCCTCGATTTTTGTTCTGAAATTGCCCCGTGACTGCTGTACTGCTGTAGATTACCGCTGTAAGTGACAGCATGTTCAAAATTGCGACATACATGCGCGACATCTGCGCTGTGTTTTATCTGTGCACGTGACTGCCTGCGGCGACCCTATATGTCGAGGCATGTAGTATGCAGAAGGCTCCCCCAGGCTGCCTAAGTTCTCACCTTGTGCCGCAGCCCTTACTCCCGCGCGGGCCGGCGGCCCAAAGCGGCGATCATCGCAATCGAGGCAAACGAGCCTGCCTCGCCGCAAGCGATAATATCTCGTGCCTAAGCCCCGCTTCTTGGAGGCTATGATCACATCGTCAACTTGCCAGTTGATCAGCTTCGGAAACTTCGTCAGACATGTTTGCAGCGGGCGGTCTCGAACGCGTGCTGCTCGACAGCAGTGTCACAGAGAGCAGCAGCAGAAGGTGAGGGCAGGCAAGCAAGCGGGAGGGGGGACCGCGGCTGCGATATACCCCACTCGACTCGTAGGACCCCAGCCGCCCGGAAAAAAAGAAAAATAGGACCGGAGTCTCCCGAAAAGGTCACAGCAGCAAGCTGCAGGTAAGATCATATGTGGCAGATACCAGCACGCACAACGACACCACACCGAACAAAGGGCCATAAGGTCTTGCACGTAAATCTTACGCAGCCCTCGCTCTCGTCTTTGCTCATAGAGCGCATCGCTCACCTCTTGATGTTTCTACAGCAGTAGTCATGATGCTCCATCACCTCTTCCCCTCCCCCTCTCTAGACAGAGCAAGAAACACACACACACACACCCGCCGTAGTGTCCCGCTAGACCACATCAAGCACAACAGACAACGGGCTCTCTACGCGAAGGGCGGCTGCAGCAGCAGCAGTACAAGAAGAATACGCAGTGCATAGCGGGTGTCGACTTAGAGCTTCTTCGGATTAGGTCTCCCGGACGATAAAACTCAGCCTGACACCAATGTTCGTTGTTCGTTGTCAACAAAAAACGCAACCGGCGTAGATGCCTGCCGCGCTGTAGCTCACCCATTCCCGTCGGAGGAGTCGTGCAAGCACCTTAGCTATAAAGAGCTGCCTGTGGTTAAATGTGCGAGATTCCCTAGCAAGCACAACACGCTAGAAGCATAGTGCAGCAGCAGCTGAGCAGAACGGGCGCTGCATGATGCGTACTGCATGATGACGGTAGAGATTAATGACGAGCGTTGTTTCAGGAAAAATAAGGACCCTCGCAACAAGTCAACCTGCTCCACCGCGGATCAACAACGCAGAAACCGGTTCTCACGCCACAAGAGGCAATAGCTGCTCATACAACAGCGAGAGGTCTTGAAATCGTATCAGCTACACCGAACTGCTGGTAGTTCTCCGAGATGTGCGGTGTGGGCTAAGATCGGCTTTTGAGACCCGATCGGTCAAGGGAAGGGGTACGCGGTTAAAATGACACAGACAGAAAAAAGAGACTTTTGGTCGACAGAGACCCAAGCTCTATGATTTTGGAGTCCATTGGTGCTCCGAACCGATTTAACCAAAATATCGGAGAATATTCGGAACACAAACAAACCGCCCCGTCCAAAATCCGGCGGCGGAACACTGGCTGGCGCGCTGCCCAATCAGTGACATATTTGATGTTGAATTTCAGTTTTTGGACGGAATGCAAGTGGTCTGACAAGGACCGCGCTGAGCTGTCGACAAGTGCACTCATAAAAAAACAACATACAGAGCCGATCGGATGGACATAAAAACCATGCCAGCATTGCTGCTACACGACTGAGCCACTTCATGACATAAAAAATGGTTTATGAAGCTGAACCGGGATCGCGATACACCTACATACCGTCCGCATACAATACCTTCCCAGTACGCAGTCCCTCCATAAAAAAAAGTCAACAAAAAATGTTTGTCATCCATTTTAGTCGAAGGGGCTATGTACAGAGTCCCTATAAGGTATCTGAGCTCCTTTAAGGTATCTGAGCTCCTTGGCAGACAAAGGGTGGCTCGGATTCAATATGAAAAGAGTCCGTTTCGGGGACACTCTTCATACTGAAGCCAAGTAAGAAACAATACGGTGTTTCCGATACTCGAATTTCGATACAGTTTCGATCTTTTTTATCACCCCGAGCGCCGAAGGTCGATGGATCTTCAAGAATTTGATCAATTGCTTTATTACGACTTGCTCCCCAAGTTGCCCCAAGACGGCCGAAAAGATCGAATTTCATCCTGCCCACAATGATCTTTGTAGGAGCATTTGCTCGGAATTTTCCGCCCCGTAAGATAACCCGTACAGGTTTCAGTCGGGCGAACGACTCAAAATACGTGCCCAAGAGGAAAGTCCAAAAACAAACGTGGCAGAAGCACACGATGAGTGGCGGAGGAGGCGAAGGGTGAAAAGAAGTCCGTAGGGGCGAACACACTTGCTCTCTCGTTGCCCTCTCGTCGGTGCGGCACCTCACAACAAACCCACGCTCGGTAGTTTGTAGAAGTAAGTACAATTAACGAAGGTGAGTCTTCGTAGATCTGAACTCTAAATCCAAGTGATTTGAATGCTGCTCTCTCGTGCGCCTAGAGCACTTTTTCGGCGCCTTAGAGCCCCACGGGGCGCATTTCTTCCGGATTTTTCGACAGCCCGCTGCCGCTGCGCAGCGCGGGGGGTTTCCGCGCGCTGAGAGGAGGGCGCGAGGCCGAGCCGCAGCGTGCCGGCGCTCTCTTACGAGTCCGACGCGGCGGGTGTGAGCGCGGCTCCACTCCGTCCACCAATCACAAAGCCCGGTCTTTTCTGACTGCGTTCCAGCGTGCATGGGCCGTCAACTCAATCAATCACGCAGGGTCCCTTAGGTCGGGTGGATTCTTACAGCAGCACGCTTTTTTGCAAAACGACATGTTGCGGTACATGGTGCGCACGGGCATAGAGTGCAGGCGTGTTCAACACGAACGTTCGTGCGCGTGTCAGTGTAAGTCCTTCCTTCACGCGCTAACTGCTGTGCTTCCTGTGTACGTACATCTTCATTTGTGCATAAACTTTTTTTTTTTTCTTAATATGACACAACGAAACCATCTCTATCATAGAAAAGAGTCTGAGACAGATTAGCAATGGATTCATAGCGTCAAAAAGTACCTTTCTTCTCTCTCCGTCACGCAAAAATGCGGCGGAATCGTTTAGCGATAAATCTTTTTTTTTGTACAGTTTCGGTGCACGCGCACTTAAAAATGCGGCGAGATGAAGATTTAGGACAGACAGGATCTTTCTGTAGCGCGCTGCCACTCGTGCCCTTCCCGTCACACTCCTGTCTCCTCCGACATCCTCAACACCAACTCCTGAGAGCACGGCCGTCAACGATCTTCTGAAAACACTTTCGTTTATGCCATCTCCTCTGTAATTTCTTTTTACATCTCCGTGCAGATCACGCCAACGTCCACGCCGTCGAAATCCACTGCGTCTTGGCAAAGACGTCTGGCGGCAAGCTTCTCAAGAACGCAACTCCGACAACCAAGAAGCGCATCGGCGTGAGTTACACTTCATATGTACTATCTTCAATTGTGTGTGTGGCGATTCATCTTTGTCGTTAATCATAAACTACACGTGCATACTTCTACGCAGATGCCCACGACGTTGCGCCGTTGCCTTTTGTTCTCCACGTGCACTCGCCCAGAAATCGTGCGTTCGCGCCGACGAGAACAACATCGCGGACGATCTTCAGACCGGCTGCACGGGGATCATCTCCGAGGGGGACCTCGTGATCAAGGACTGGGACCCCCCGCTCCACTTCTACTGCGCCAGGAGGCTCTGGAAGGAGTCCGTCACCCAAACCCTCAAGGCGAAGAAGATCATCAAGGAGATAGGGACCACCGAGGAGGAGGAGGCTGCCCAACTACGTGTGTGTGCCGTCATTGCGGTTCAACACTTTAGAGGGAAGAAAGAACAGCTCGCTCCCCCAACTGTTGCGCCAATGGAAATCAAGTCATCACCTGTCTGTTACCAATACCGTCCCAACTACTTCAAATTTTCTGCACTCCACACTTTCGCAATGCCCAACGTAAGTGCTACGGTTTGTTCAGTTTTATTGCTTTGGGAGCCGGTGGTATCCAAAAGAGAACGTGGACTCAGCCAAAGCCGCCTAGCATGTTGGCACTACACGGAAGAGCTTACCACCGCATCTTCTACCTGCAAGAGCACTATGCTGACTGCTCCGTGAACAACAGCTCTAGATTCTACATCTACGACTCCGAGTTTGTGTCCCATGCTTCGTCCCGAAACCTAAACTCTCAGACAGCAAACGTTTTGAGGTCTCACATCAACGGCAACATCAAATGGGCTAGGCAGTACCGTTGTGCTGTCGACGACATTCTAAATCTTCAGCAAAACAACAACAACGATGAGGTTCCTTACATGGAATTCGCATAGGTGAGTAGAGCATCTGAAGGACCCGTCGTGGGCGACACAGTCACTGCTCCTGAGATAGCGGCTCTTCTTTATACTTCCGGTCAGGCCAATGACGGCACAAGAGCCGTTGTTACCAAACCCCGTTTCCTACCTTTGTGGAGTCCAGCTCACGAGACCCTTCAGTTCCCGTTACTTTATCTTCATGGTGAGCCCGGGTGGAGCAAAGGCCACAAGGACGAAACTCCCGAGAACAAGTCACGGACGACGAAATAGGACAACACTCAGCACGTCAAGTTCCCTTACTACCGCAGGCAACGAATACTTTCCGAACAAATATTCAAGATCAACAGCCGTCCACAACAAGAATGGGCTTGTGATTCCCTCAGCAGAATGGAAGAGGATAGACTGCCGTTCGTTCAAACCAAAGATATGCAACGTAGGCTTGCGTCTGATCGTTCCATTCGAGATTCCTCCCCTTCCGAACAACCAGGAAAGTTACTCCCTGCCTCTTTCCCCGGCCCACCCTGCCAGAGAAACTCTGACACTGAGGACGCTTTGGCTATCGTCAACAGACGAGGTCGACCGCCTTAGTTTGTTACCGTTACTTTCAACGCAAACTGGGCTGAAGTTACTGAGAACTTGCTCCCAGGACAAAGTGCCTACGACCGCCCCGATCTGTGTTGTCGCGTCTTCAAGTTGAAACTGAAAGAGATTAGGAGAGTTCTCAAGAGCGGTAACATTTTTGGTCTCTACAACAGCCACCTAGGTATCATCGAGTTCCAGAAACGCGAGTTCCAGAAACGCCGCTTCCCGCATGCGCACATCATCCTTCTAACGTTCGACAGTGAAGGTCCTGATGCTCTGAACGAAATGAACCACCAGTGGGTTTAAGTAATTTTCAACGAATACGACCAGGATTATTTCGTCAACGTCTTCTGCGTTCACGCCTCGACTCGTGAAAACCTAGCCCAAGCTCTGGACAGCTCCAACTTCGCCTGCGTCACCAACATGGCCCTTGAGTTAGTCTACTCGTGGCTCTGATCGGTTGTTTCGCTTTACGCTCCTTTCAATCATTCGTCACAACAGCTCATAGCCTGGACAACGCATTGGTTGCATTCATTCTTTGCACTGCTTTTGCAATTTGCGCTCATGTGCAGGTCGCTGGAGGTTTCTCTCACGCTTTCCTAGCTTCCCTGCTTCAATAGAGTCGGGGTATGCGTGTGTGCGTGTGCGAGAAGTGGTTGCGTATAAGTCTCGACATTTGACGCATTAACAATGATTCGTCACCTTGCTTTAAGGAATTTGCGCCCACGTATATGTGGCTATGAACATCGGGGTATGCGTGCTCTCCATAATAAGGAGAATGTGCGCAGAGGGGAATTGGTTGCATCATGTTTGTCCCTTGCGACGAGGACGCTTTTTTCGCTTCAGTTCTTCAATAGGTCGGGGTATGCGTGCTCTCCATAAGTAGGATATGTGCGGGGGGAAAGTGGTTGCATGCAAGGTTGTTACCATATCTAATACTTCATTTGGTCTCCTCACATGCTGCATTCATTCGTACAAATATATCTTTTTTCTTGAGCACCGAGTGCATGCATTGTTTTCTTTGCTTAGTTTCGCTGCTTCCATGATGCGTCGACCAACAAAGTGGTTATATTTTTCATCGGCCGCCTACCGGCTCTCTCTTACGAACCCGACACCGCTTTTTCAGGTGAATCTACTACACCCACAAATTACAACTACGTACGTTTCTCCGGCGCGAAATATTACGGGCGGTCTACACACCCACAAATCACAAAGCTCATCCTTTTTTTAATGTCTTGCGTCTTAAATTTTCTCTTTTCGTGCATACGCTTCTCCGGCACGAACAATTGCGGACACATCTCCTGCCGTCCTTTCCGACCCCCAGCCTTCTCCTTCTTCTACTGTTCTCTGAGTTTTTTGCAACGCCTCCCATCTTCCGCACTTGGTATGAGGCTCAACTACCTGATATCCTCCGTTTCAGACTCATGCCGAAGGCGGGGGGGGGGTACCCCCCCCCCCCCGCCGGGGCCCTTGTATTGTAAGAATATTGATTGTTGAAGACACAAACACCACACCGCTCAGCAAGGAAAAACAACCTCACGCGCTGCGCGGCACACGCTTCACCTCTCAGGGTCAGCCTATACCCCCGACAACCAATAGGTATCGCAACAAGCAACTCACAGGAAGTGCGCATCCAAAAGGTTCCGTGGCGAACGGGGTTTACAACTTACTGCGTGATCTGAGTGAGAGTGTTATGTGGCGTGTGCAAAGTGTCGGCGTGTGAACAGTGTCACGAGGACTTTACAGCAGTCGTGTGGTTGTTGGTGTTGACTATTTCTTCGTTGGTCGTATCAGAGGAGTCAACTTTGCGAAGAGTGTGAAATAGAGATATCTGTTCGATGGCTCACAGTAGGACGGAAGCTTGTCAGCAAGTTAGGAAGTACATGCCTTGTAGAGTTTTGCACGGACGGGCGACATGCGTGAGGGTGGACCTTGTGAAAAAAACGTTCCTTCGAAAATCCAACTCGAACTTGATTTTGAATGTTGATTTCGGTTTGGCTCTACACAGCGCAGGCGGAGAATCGAAATAGAAAATCAACATGGGACAGGTGAATAAGGCCCGTACATGGCAGTTGGGATGATTCAAACAATGACCATGAGAGCCACACGGCATCCAAGACAGCGAACAATAGCTCTGAATAACGGTCATGATCAGGCGGGTTTGAGGGTATTTGCTGCGTGCTGATGTCGGAAAGCCAAAATAGTGGCCGGTGAACTGCGTTTACAACGATTGAATTTCACGGCGATGAAGACCTCGCTCAAAGAAAGTATACCATGCTCTGCTGGGTGTCAGATTTCTGCCAAGCGCTTGCTTGCATCACCAAGCTGTCTGTAGGTGGTTACAGACGAGTATCGAAATAGAGGAATGTACGATTCCGTGCGTGTGTGGCAGCCAGCTTGATTTCCGATTGGCATTCGATTTTTGATTTCGAGTCTGTTCGTGCTCGCTTTTGATTTTTTAATATCGGAGAATATTCGGAACACTGACCCTCAGATAAAACATCCGGCGGCGGAACACCGGAACTCTGTCCAATCAGTGACCGTTTCGATTTTCGATTTTCAACGGAATAGCGGTCTGACGAGGTCCACGCTGGGTCTTCTTTGGTGCTAGTATGTGCAAACCTGAGCGAAAACCAAAAGGGCAAACAGCTACCACATCGTGACGTCATATTGAATGATGACTTGTTGAAATATGTTTACGACGGTCTTCGCAAGCTGTTACTTGACTATTGTTGTTGTTGTTGTTGTTGTCTTCACATTAAAAACCGTTCCGATCTCTCTCTACCCAGTACCTTCGTATGTCCGTACTGATCCAACACTCGACGCGGTCGATTCCCGTGGTCACAGGTTAACTTACCCTAAAAAGGTACACTCAAATAAACTGGCCCCGAGGGGTCCGCAAGTCAATAGAAATCAACGACAGATATTCTGGGATCCTCCGCTCCCTCTTCACGCTATGCGGGGTATCAACTGAGATTAGCAGTCACTATCTATCATGGGCCGGAGAGAAAGAGGCACACTCCCTTGGTTCAATCTTGGTACTTCACAACGCAAGCAGAGACAAGTCCATCTGGCACAGAAAAAGAGAGAAAAAAAGAGAGAAAAAAAAGGACAAAGAGAAAAAAAAAGGAGAAAAAATAAAAATGGAAACCGTAAGGAGAAGAGAAAATAAATGAAAATAAAATGAAAAAAATGAAAAAAAGGGCGAGGACAAAGAGGGACCAGGCCGAAAATAACAGGAAGTATGAGGCAGAACAAGGCACACGGTGGAGAGACCACTAAAGAACAAGCAAACACGCAAACATGGCCACCAACCAGCGATACATTATAGTGGTACGAAATCACTACTACTGGGGGGTTGGTGCAATGGTGCAGCGTTGGGGGGGGGGGAATTGGCGAAAAGAGATTCAATCCGGCACGTGTCGTGCCACTCGGTCCGTCTCTTCTCGTTTGCTTTCTTCCCTCGCCGTCTCGTCCGTCTCCTGCCCCCCTCCCGCCCCATTGGTTGTTGGCTTGTGGTTTCGTTTGAGCGCTCGTTGTCGGCTGGCCTCTTCTTCCTTCTCGTGCCAGGAGGTCATGAACCTCTCAGCTCTCTGCAGCACCGCCGCATGCCAGGGTACTCCCCCCTCCACCTTCGCGGCTTCCGTCCACCTTGACTTCGGTGCCGTGTCTTTCGGTACGGGAATTCCGAGACAACTTGGGTCGGTTTTCGTAGATCCGTGGTCGGCCCCGAAGGCCTTCAGGTCGTCGAGTACACACTTCGGCCAGTTCTGTTCCTGTCCCCCCCTACGTGGCTTCTCCCCCCCCGCCAGCTCGCCGAGCATCAGTCGTTTCGGGAGTCGCCCGTCCGGCTGCCTTGCCAGTGCTCCCGCGAACAGTAGGCGTCGTTGTCGGATCGTGGCTTCAACGCTCTGGCATTCGACCCTCTTCAGCGTCTGGGCGTACGAGAGCTGCCGGTAGGTGTCTTTCTTGCGCTTGTACCCGATAACTCGAAGGAGCAGTCGGTGGTGTGTCGACCGCAGCGTCTGATAGTGGCCGCTGAGTGGTGACCATGTCATGCAGCCGTACAGCAGTGCCTCCATCGCCTCCGCCTGGAGGAGGCGGATCTTGAGTCGGAATGGCGCTTTCGGTCTGTCGAAGAGCTCCTGGCCATATCGCCTGAGGCACGCCCACGCTCCTCTGCTCCTGTAGCTGATCTCCCGGGTGAGGTCGCCATGTTCGTTGACGAGACCACCGAGGTACCGGAACTCGGTCGTCTGGGCGTATTTCTGTCCCGCGGCTTCGATAGTCAGTGGTGGAGGAGGAGGCGGGGGGGACTGTGATGTTGCAGTCGGCTTGTCCTTCGCGCGCATCAGGAGCGTCTCCGTCTTCTTCTCCGACACCGTTAGCCCGAACTCTCCGAACACCTCAACGATGATGGTCATCATTCTCGCCAGTCCTTCTGCAGACCTCGATACGACGCCGGCATCATCGGCATACAGCATCCCCCATACTGCCCTCCGTATTCGGTCAAGGGGTGTCTCCTCCCCCCCCCCCGCTTCCGTCTTCCCCTCCTCCAAGCACACCAGATTCCGCAGAACAATATCATCCTCGCTGAATCGGATAACGACGACCTCGAGGACCTCGGCGAAGAAGATGTTGAACAGCAGTGGGGATAGCACACATCCTTGTCGCACACCCTGTGTGACGAAGAACCAGTCCGATAGTTCTCCGTCGTCCATGCGCACCCGGGCCCGCATTCCATCGTGGAATTGGCGGATGACTTTGATTAACTTCGCGGGAATCCCGGCCCTGGCCAGCACCTTCCATAGCATCTCTCGGTCCACCGAATCATACGCCTTCTTCAAGTCGACGAAGCACATGTAGAGCGGTATTTTCTTTCTCCGCCCCAGCTCCTGGAGGCGACGCACGACAAACAGCATGTCGACGGTGGATCGCCCCGGTCGGAATCCGCACTGTTCCTCCGGGAGGATGTTGTTGGCCTCGCAGAAGGCGCTTAGACGGTTGGTGATGATCTTGATGGGAACCTTGCCTACGTGAGATAGTAGCGAAATCCCTCTGTAGTTGTTACAGTTGGACCGGTCACCCTTCTTGTACAGCACCTTGATGGTTGCGTCCTTCCACTCTTGGGGGATATCTCCTCCGTTCCACACCTTGACGAGGATGGTATGGAGGTGTCTCAGGACAACGGGTTCGTCGTCATCGATCTTGAGCAATTCGGCAGGGAGGGAGTCATGGCCGGTGCCTTCCAGTTCTTGAGGCCTTTCGCTGCCCGTGCCACCTCCTCGAGATCTGGCACCTCTCCCAACCGTTGACTGTCACGTGTCGCTGGCCGCTGTGTCACTCGTTCGATGATGTCTGGGTTCAGGGTGGGGGATTTGGTGTTGAGTAGGGTGCTGAAGAATCTCGCCCACCGTTGGAGGATGTCGTCCCTGTTCCGGAGCAACACGCCGTTCTCATCCGCGACGAACTGCTGTCCCCCCGCTTGTCTACCGCTGAGGCCCACTGATCTCTTGAGGTGTTGGTACAGTCCTCTCATGTCGCGATCTTTGTAGATTGCTTCGAGTTCAGTCACATGTCCGTCCAGGTGGGCATAAATGCCCTTTTCGACTGCTGTAGCCACTCCCTTACACGCTGCTTTGAGAGTTCTCCACGTTGCTGAGTTCCAGTTGCCCCTCATCGCCCGGCGCGCTTCCCGCCGTGTGGTAAGGGCCTCCTCCAGCGCTGCTCTCGTCTCTGGGGTCTCACACCACCCCTGCGTGCGACGTCTCCGCGGTTCCTCCCCTAGGGTCGTCCGTGCTGCTTCGAGGAGAGCATTGGTAAAGTCGGTCACCAATTCCGCGGCGGTGGTTGTTCGTTCGTCCAGTCGTGTGTCGAGGTTGAGGAGGAACCGATCAGTCACCGCACCTCGTGCTGTTTCGAACTGCAATTCCCGTCGGTTGAATTGCTGCTGTT